TTTTGCTCCCTCTTTCCCCCGAAGCCTTGCTAAAGCACATTTCTCTGGTACTGCAATGCCTTGGCCATTTCTTGTTGCTCCCATCACAAAGGGCTGTGCTGTTCTGTTTGTGCTTATAATGTACCCAGATGGTGAATAGAATGAGTGACCACCAAGCTCATTTTCACTTGTGGGGTCAGACCTTTCTCTGCTAAATAACACAAGTGTTCCCAGCTGCTGTGCAGCTGCAGGGAGTCTGCTTTCCTTCACAGGCATTAAAAAGCCTTTAATCAGTGTTTGTTGTTTGTCAGCAGTGGTGTTGAGGTGTGGAGAAAAAGAACAGATATGCTTTGTTGGCAAAGTTAACTTCATTCTGACCTCTTATCTTTCCTTTTTCTTTTCAAGTCTGAAGAAGCAGAAAGTAGTTTGGGAAGTGGTTTCTGCAAGCACCTGTGTAAATGTATTTGCTGAAGGAGGGGGTTTATGTCCTTATGCAGATACAGCATTTGACATAAAAAGATGCTCTGAGAGAGCTGCGTTGAACTGGAAGCTCTTTAGGGCAGGGTTTCAAACTGACTGGTATAGGAGTTGTACAGGCTCTCTTAACGTAAGCAAACACTATAAAAATACAAATATTGTTGTCAAATACTAGTATTACTTATGCTTATTTTAGTATTGAGTCTACATTTCAGGAATACCATTTGCAATCCGGTCAATTTTAACCTTTCCCTGGAAAATAGATTATTCCTGCTAGTGTTTGTGTGGTTTTTATTGGGTTTTGTGTTTGATGTTGGTTTTGGGGTTTTTTTTAGTTCTGTGTTTAATAGTTCTCCTCTCATGGAGGAAAAGGGAGGAGAGAAAAGGACTGATAAGCCATTAACACCATCCCCAGTCCCATTTGTTTTGGATCCTGAAGCAAATGGGAACACAGGTATCAAAAAGAAGCTTTGAGAAATCTCAGGGCTAAGATCGTTGTTTCCCTCTTCTTTCTAGATGAAGTTTGGAAACCTTCTGGTGCGGCACATATCTTTGCAAGGTTACTTTTCCCGTGAGTCCAGATCTGTTCACGCTGTGTGTCTGTGTGTACAGCACCAAGTGTGTACAGCTGTGCAAGTGTCGATGCTGTTGTTTGCAAAGCCTGATTGTGCAGGCATCCTGAGGCTTTGATTTGAGCTTCAGGGGTCATGATGGGACACTTGGTGTTAAAGGTGGAATACTTTGTCTTGCTATGCTTCCTCTGGTTTGAAGGGACCAGAGAACAGTGTTGCTGGCTGGGGTGGGTTGGTAGCCAGGTGTCAGGCACCCTATGCACATGGCTCCAGCTCTCTGCCCTGCTCAGCATCATCTCTTGCAGTGACCACAGTGGTCTCTTGGAGCAGGGCTGTGCTCCTTGGAAAAGCAGTGCCTGCTTGCTCAAAGTGGGAATAAAGAACTGCGAATGAGTAACCTACAAATTGCAGTCCTAGCTGTCAAAATGATAGATTTGTGTGTGCTCCCCATGAGCAGACACATTTTGGTGTTCATCCAGTGCTTTTCTTCAAGTGGCTGAGGCTGCTCACAAAGGAGGTCAGTTGTAGTGCTCTTGGACAGGCAAAATGCTGGAAAGAAAACTTTGTGCTGGCAGGAAGGGATGGATGCTCAAAAGAAGCTAGTATGTTAAAAGTCTCTGGATGATCTGTGTTGATGATTGCTTCTGAAGCCTGAATCCTTACCAGCTAGAAGTGGGGTGAAGAACCACCGTTTTACTACCTGAAGGCTGGCAGGGCTGCCAAGCAAAGAGAAGGGCTCTGAGCTACAGTGGAGCAAGTGTCCTACTGCAGGGGGGAATTTTTGAAGCCCTTCAGTAACATCTCCAGGAGATCCAGCCTTTCTGGCAGTGTTGTCTGATCACATGAGAAGAACCCTGATCAGACAGGCATGATCCTGGATCCTTCTGGAAATTAATGCAGACTTTTACAATTATAATCTAGCCGAACAAAACAAGCACCATCTTGTGCAACTACATAAACCATAAACTTTTTTGGCAAGGCAGGTGTGGCATCTTCAGTGTTTGGAAAGCACCTAGCATGCTGTGTGGGCTCTGAGCAGTAATCCAAATTACAAATGCTAAAAAGGCTTTGATTTTTTTTTTTATTTTTTTTTTTAAACGTGGTTCTTGGCTTAATTTGGGTAGGCAAGAACTTCATAGGCTGCATTGGGATGCTCTGCATGTTTCCTCAGGCCCTCATAATTAATCAATGCTGAGCTGTTCCTCCCTATCCCTCTGCAAGGAGGCACCACAGCAAAGCTCTTCCATAGCCTTAGGTTTAGCTCATTTGAGTCAGCCCTGAGAAGGACTTTGTGTTCTTCAGAGATGCCCTTTCAGGGAGGATGGGAGTTTCTGGCCTGCAAGGCCCCTCGATACTAAGTATTTTGGTACAGGCTGCAGAAGGCTTAGGGGAGTTTTCATGATGTAAGCTGAGTTTTCAATAAGTTTGTAATATGGCTTAACGCTGAGAACCGGTATTCTAGCTTTTTTGGTGCCCCTCTGGATAACTCTGATCTGTGGAACTTGGCTTCTGACACAAGGAATTTGCAAAAAGTTTCATGCCAGTACCTCAAGCCCTCAAAGTTGTGATAAATGGCAGATGCGTGCATTCCTCCTAAACCAGAATGGCTTCTGTGTTTAACTGAATATTTAATCGCTGTATGTGCACCATACTGTGCTATCAGGCAGCTCTGCTTTTAGAGTCTGTTTATAGAGACCGCTGAAAAGCCTTGTGAGCCTTTCAGGATCTCTGACATCACATGCTGGGAGGAAGCTAGAGCATCTTCAGGCTGCTGCTTTTTGCTGTATGTTTACAGTCGCTGGTGATCTTTGCACCTTGGGGGCTACAGAAAGACATTGCTGTAGCCAGAGCAACTCCAAGCTAAACTGTGATAGTCCAACCCCTGACAAGAACAGGGCAAAAATCTGGTCCAGCTTTACAGTGTTTTTATAGTCTAGTCCAGATCTCTATAAACCATTTAAAATTGCCTTCAGGTTTAAATTTTCCAATTTCCCATTTGGAACAGGTGTTGCCAGGTTATAGAAAGTGTTGCAGAAAAGGAACAAAAACATTTTAAAAACTCTGCGCTGTTACAAATTTTGGCAAGTCTCTGACATGAGATTTTTTTTTTTAAAAAGTTTGCCCCACCCAAATTAAAACAAGTGCAGACCTTGCTTACTTTTCCCAGCTGTCATGTTTAAATAGGGTTTTTAGTAATGCATGAGTCTTCAAAAGATCCAGCAGTACAGAGCCCGATATGTTTTTATATGAAAATATGCAACTTCTCAATTGTTTCTCATCTCATTTAATTGGGAAGAGAAAGGGGGTGAAGAATTTTTTTTTTAAATGTCAAAAAACAAATTTCAGAGATGCGTGTTCTTGGAGTGGTTAAAAACCAACCCAAACTAGGCTTCAGGCAATGTTTTTTCAACAGCTCTAACCTCAAAGCTCAGAGCAGACAGCTTTGTAGGCAACTGTAACACCAAGGTGATTATGGCAATGACTCACACTTCCCTGTAAGGCATCCAGCTATCGACACACTCGGGGAGCCCTGGCTTTGTGCGTGCAGGCAGGGTGTCAGTCCATGCCCACTTGCCAGCCTGCTCCGAGCTGCTGAGCTCATTCATAACCACTTTGACAGCGAGCTGGGACATTGGTGTATCGGAGAGCAGCTCTGGTCCCACAAGGCTTGTGAGAGGCTGAAGAGATGGGAGCTTGGGAAGGGGAAGTCCAAGGCAGGTTTAACTTCCCTTCTCTTAGCTCAGTCCTCAATGAAGTGGTTTCAGGAGTCACCTGAGAATCTTCCCCGTGAGCAGGTGGTTGGGTTTGGGTAATAGCTAAAGGTCTGGCTGACTAACCACTAAGTGGGGTAGCATGGGAAGTGAAAAGGGCTGCTACTGTCATGTCCTGGTAAAACTCTTCCAATGGTTATGGAAAAAGGACTGGCAGTCGGGGTCCTCAGGAAGGCAGTATGAACTTGGGAAAGAGACCTGGGTTTCTCTATAGGCAGAGCACAGCTGAGAGTACAAGAGTAAACTACTGCCAGATGTTGGGATTTGCAGGGAACAAAGGAACAGAAAATGGAGACTCATTTATATGCATTGTGCGTTTCCCCCTCTCTAAAAGATAAGGCAGAAGCCAAGCTGTCTTCAGAGAAAGGAAATGGCAGTGATCGTGGTATGGAGGAAATCTTCTGGGCAAGGAATGGGGAGACTGGGGTTGTTCGCATTGAGAGACTGACAAGAAGTGCCAGTTTTATACAAAACAGGTGGCATTCACACTGAATGCTTGGGAGGAAATATTCAGAAAGATGACAAATTCAAACTTCTGAAAGGAAAGGGCTTTTCACGTAGTGTGCAATTAGGTTGTGGGATGCATAGAATGCAATTGCCAGGTGGGCAGGATGTCATCGGGAAGGAACAGAACACGGCTTTGGGAGCGTGCAGGTATGCTGTTGCGGGTGGTATCCACAGATGACATAAGCAATGCTTTAAAAAACAAATAACATAATATAAAGCAGGCCACATCCATGGTTCAACTACCGAGGCCAATCTTGATAGGTTATTTGGGTTCCTCCATCCTTGTTGATAAGTTTTTTGCACTTCTGACTAAAATTGTCTAGTACAGATGCTGTTTGTGGCAGGGCCCTGGGCAAGCTGGGCTGTGACTCAGTATTGCCCTTCCCGTGTGGGTTGTGTTTGGCTTTGCACATCTTAGGTTTTCAGAGGTGAGGCAGAGTGAGTAATGTTTCCGTTCTATTAAATAAAATGGAATGGCAAGGACCCTTAATTTTTTTTTTTTTAAAGATGTACGTGTTTCATTTTAAGTTCCCTTCAGGCAAAGTCAGCTTTGGTAGGCAGCTTAAACTGCATTATAGACCATATTGCTATTGTCATAAAAACAAAATACACTGTGCTGTGCTTTGGGAAACCAAACAAAACCAATTTTTTTTTTTTTTCTCCCTCCCTACTTTTTTCACTTCCTTCAGTTTTTAATTAGCGACCGTGACAGAGACCCTCAGTGTAACCTGCATTGCTCCAGGTCCCAGTCCAAACCCCTCTGTGCCTCTGATGGCAGAACATACGAGTCCATGTGTGACTACCAGCGAGCCAAATGCCGGGAGTCGAGTCTGAGCGTGACGCATCGCGGCCGGTGCAAAGGTAGGTGGATTTCAAGTGCCTTTGAGGGGAGGAATGGGAGTCCTACCTTATAAGAAACTGGATTCTTAGACCCTTGAGTTGAGTACCATGCCCTGTGAGCAATCTGATTGAAATGGTACGTTCATGTGAGCATGGGTATCTGACTCTGGGTTTAGGTGGCAGGAATAAGAACTGACTGAATTATCAATGAAAGAAGGCAAAAGAGCCACACATCACTGAAAAAGGGATGAAATATGTGTCTGCAGAGCAGGCAAAACTGGCTCTATGGAAATGCAAAATGAAATCTTGAAAGAAGACATCTTCCTTGCTACCTGTGCCACTGAGGAACTGAGATACCCTTGAGTGATAGGAATGTGGAGTGGAGAAGAACGTGCAGTGCACGTTGGATGTCCAGTCCCTTTTCAGACATATGCAGCCTTTCTGTGTTGAGCTAATTTAGAAGACAGAACGCATGCAAGGCTTTACATGGCCTCTTTTTTGCTTGTTTGCTGTTACACATTACTTAAAAGTGAGAATATTGTTTTTCTCTCAATTGAACTCTTCTTCAGCATAGTATAAAGATGAAGTTGCAACTTTTTTAAAGGAGTATTGCTGTCTTGTCACACAAGTGGTTTGCTTCTTCAGGGAAGTGAAAAATCAAGTTGAGTGCATTTTCTGAGAGCACATTTAACTCAGAGGGCAGATGGCACAGATGTTTTTAGCAATTGGTTAAAGTGACAGGAGAAACTCATTAAAATCCCTGTGGAAGGTTAAATAAGCATATGTTTAAGCCTGACTTTTGTTTATGAAGGCTTTTTTACTATTATAAAAGTGTCTCTTTGTCAGAATTACTTGTTCTAAAATGGATATCCCTTTTCAATGTATTGACAGGCTTTATAGTTTACATGAATTATGAGCATGACCTCAAATATTGCTCTTTTAAACAGTTTCTCATTGGAAAAAAGCTTACTTGTATGATTTATTATTTTTTTCTCTCACCACTGCTGTGTTGCTGTGTGGCAGCTTCTCTCCTGTAGCACAGAAAAAGGCTGTTGAATCATCCTGCTTTCTGAGTATTGGAAACCCAGAAGCTTTCTTTCCAGGACTCAAGAAGCTGTTGGGCTGTTCTTGCCAGTGATGCATTTGAGTATCACAATAAGAAGCAGAAGGGTGGGAATCCTGCTTTTGCTTTCATCACTTGAGCATAGTGGCTTAGATAAGCCACTCCGTGGCTGATATTGGCATATAAACTGGCATTGTTCAGCCACTTAAAGCATGGGATCTGAAATGTGGTACATCCATATGCAAGAGTGACTGTTTCTGGAAGTGAAGAAAATATTGGTTGCCAAACTACACAGCCTGCTCTATATCGTGATTGCAAAGAGTCCCAAAAAAGTAACTAAAGACTTTTTTGTCTTAAGCACAGTTCAAGTATACTTTCCTTTCTGCTCTCTCAGACACAACTGAATGTTTAACTAAAACTACTCATGTTCTCTTTTTTTTTTTCCCCCTCTTACCCTGTGATACTATGCAGTACCTAATAACTTCGATGTGTTTGAGAACTGCAAGTCTTGCTTTTAACCCACTAACACCCTTATGAATCCCTGGGAAGTAGGAATATTCTTTTAACTATTGCATTCAAATTTAACCTTGCTGGTAATTTCCATGTGTGCCGTTATTGTAAGGTATTTTGGTTTTCTGGTCACATTAGGAACATGACCTCTGGTTGTTCTTGGCAAACACAGGCAGTTGTGAGGCAGGTGTACCTAATTACTGGTGGCTGGCCAGGTCTGTATCTCATACTCACACAAAAGAAGGTATCACCACCAGTGTTCCAGCACCTTCTACTGCTGCAGTAGGGCACCAGGTTTACCCTGACCAGTCTTCATTCCTTCTGCCTGACAGATGCTCTACAAGGGCACTCCCCTGGGCCATCGAGCCCAATCACATGCAATTGTGATAGATACTGTATCCAAAACTTATCCTTATAAAATGAGCAGTTTTAACTTGCACTTCCTTCTCCGAGGAGGGGAGTTGGGGAGAAGAACAGATACATAAAATAATGAAAAGGTGTGTTGTGGACAGCAAAGTATAGTTCTGCACCCTATACTACCACTTCCAATTTCATATGGTGATGACTTGAACTGTGCGAGCAGAATGGTTTCTGTAGTGGGGACAGAACTTATTTGATTCAGCTTAGCTCTCTGTTCTCTCTCAAGAAGCTAAGGACCTTTAAAGGTGAAATCTTGCCAGCCCTTTGGGAACTATAACTCTTACTCAGCTCTCACTCCTTGATAGCTTCCTCACGTGCTTTTCAATGAAATTCCTTTAGTGCTAAATTATCTGAACTCTCTCCGAACCCTCACTCACACATCACAAAGGGTTAAAAGTCAGGAGTAACTTAAAATGATCAAACTATGGCATCCATGACAAATGGAGCCTCATTGATGAGATTCCAGAGAACAGTTCCAGATGGCATAGCTGTGCATAAACTACACAGCCAAGCACTCCTACCTGGATCTTTTGTCAGCAAGCATCTTAAGATCTAATGTCGAATAAGAGTTCTGCCACAAAACCTTGCAGGGCTGAAGGACAAATACTTGTTAAATGAGTCTTGGCAAGCTGTCAAGATTATGCAGTGATTGTTAGGGTATATTGGATATCTGTGGCTTAAAACACATTTAAGTTGTATGTTAACCGGTTGGTTTCTAGGAATTTGTTTGGCCTATGTAATTTAAAAAAAAAAAAAGGGTGGGGGCGAAGGGTGGGAACGTTCTAAAAACTTCCCTTTAGATTTATAATGGTTGGGTTTAAAAGTCTGCTGGTACAGAGCTTGTTCTTAAATCACAAGTCACTATGTAGGATGAACCTCTCTGTAAGTTACCGGTGGGAATTGTAAGAAGGGTCTTCAGCCCATCTCCTGGAACATCTGGAAGAACAGAACTTTTGTCTGCTGGAAAGGAAGATCTTCTGACTAATAATGGGCTGTTTGAACGATCTCCTTTACCTACTGTTCTCATTGGACAGGAGATGATAATTGAAATCACTATTTTCTTTTTTTAGTCTACTTGCTAAATCCATGTAGTTTGTCTTTGAACTTTCTTATTCCTAGTCAAGGGAGAATTAAGTGGATCACTCCTTGGCAGCAGTTAGTCAATAAAATCTGAAATGATGCTTTCAATCATGTGCAAATTTAGTCATGTTTTAAGCTATGCTCCAAATAACTTCGGGAACTCTTGAGTAGAAATGGTATGTAGGTATCAAAGAAGGAGCAAAGCACATATGCATGAAAGGAAAGAAGTTGGAGATTGCAGGTGTAGGACTTGTCAGAAATGAAGTGGAAAACAAAGGGGAGAGTGGAGAATGATTGACAGTCTGTGAGACAGATGGGCATGTTTTTGTAGTGTGCTCAGGTTCCATTTTTGGTGGTTTTATGCAAAGACACAGACCATTGGCTGGAGTAAATGGGTATGAATCTGCTGACCTCAGTGTAGCTGGGCTGCTTCATGCCTGGTGGGGACCTGGACTGTATCTGAGACAGGAACTAGAAATAGTTCAAAAGCTGCTTGCATCAATTTTTACCCTTTGAGCTTTTGCTAAAAACAAAGTAGAATTTAAAAGCCAGATTTTTGTGGTTGTATCATATAGGTTTGCTGCTAGCGTTACATGGATGCCTGGAGATGTTTTACTTTGTGTTATTAGGATAGCTTGGGTCTTTATACCATGATGATGTGTGGTGTCAAAACTGCTTCTACCTGTTAAAGAGAGGATGCAGGAATTCTTGGGTCCTATTCAGGAGTGCACTGTGTATATTATGAGGGACATGGTGGTCTCATTTGAATAAACTGTTCACGGATAAGATCAACGCTGGTAACTAGCCAACTTCATTGCAAAATCCAAAATTATGTGCACCTGCGTTCTGCAGATTAGGCTACAGATGTCAAAAACATCACTTGTAGTTCACAGTCTCATAGTTGCCAGCTACCAACTTGAGAATGAATTTTCTTTAAAAAGAAGCTTTCTGAGTTGCAATAAACCTGTCCTAAGTTTGAAGATGTTTGAAGTCAAATTATTAAACAGCTCTGCTTTTATAAAAGTCATCCTGTTTTGGTTTTTCACCTTCTGTCTGGACAGTGAAACTGGAATGCATTAATGCCATTGTGTTATCTAAGCTTGGTGTTTGATACTCAGAGAACGGTTTTAAGAAGTAAGTAAGTGCTGAAACACTTGGGGAAAAAAATCAGAATGTACAATAGGGTATATGAATCTACATCATAACATCAGGCTTTAGTAAAATTTGTAATGCATCTTATTTGGGGTGAGCTATTTGGCAGCTACTTTTTAACACTTGGCACTTATGTAATATTTTACATTTTCTAATTAACAAAGCAAAAATAGTAAGGTGAAGTCATCCCACTGAAATCACATGTTGATGCAAACATTATAAAAATACCAGCCTGTGGAGTGAGGAAGAGAAGGATTGACAGTCCTTTTAAAAACAAACTGGTAAATGTTGATATTAAAGGCACTGTTTTTACTGGAAGTGAACTGTGAAACGACAGACAAAAAAGATAGTGGTATGCACACACCTCTCCAGCCAGCGTGGTATATAGGTGGTTGTTCCAAGTCAAGGCTGTAAAAGGACTGGCATGACCTTTGGAAATCAATGAGGGCGGATGGGAGAAGTAATCAGTGCTGAGTGCTCATGAACAGTGTTCATGAACAGACAATTTTTGTCTGTCTTCTCTGCACTTCGGCAGCAATTTGTGAAGAGACATTACTTGAGCCAGGGGTTGAATTGCAAAAGAGGATGCTGCAAGAATGATGAGCTCTTAAATGCCACGTCGTAGTAGTGGTCTGCTACACAGTGTAGTCTACTGGGTGGTAATAGAGAGTTCAATCTGTAAAGGCCAGTTAAAATTGTCAAGAGCGACATAGTCACCTTAGCAGTAACATGTTCATATTATCTTTTCCTTATAATAAAGGCTTGGTTGTGTGCACTTTTGTCTGCTCATTAGACAACTTGGACAAAGATCTGAGTTAGTCTCCCTTCTGCCTGAGCTCCTAATGTATTTGTACTACTGGGCATACTACAAACTGTTCCTGTCAGTTATGTGGTGAAGCATCCAGTTCCAGTCATGTAGCTGTGAGCGTGCCAGCACTGAAGGAGATGTTATGTGGAAATGCTTTACGCTTCTGTTTTATGTTCAGGAGAGGAACCAGATATGCCTGTCTGCAGTCCTGTGTCTGCAGATGGCAAGACTAGAAAACATACTTTTATTTGTGAATCTGTACCTGGATTGTCATGTGAGAAATTGGCAACTTTTTTTTTTCTTACGTTATATGTGCAGATCTGCATAATCTGCACAGATTTTTTTGCTACTTAGTTGTCTCCTGTGAAGCAGAACTAGAAGGTGTTTTGAGTCAGACAGCTAGCTATAAAACAGAAGGTGCAGGGACACCATCTGGTTTTGTAATAATGTCCTATGTCATGGCAAGCAAGATTAAATTCTTAAGCTTGAACAGGAGATCTGCAGGTGATAGTTAGGTGTTCCAGTTAATGACATTGCCAGTGCTTCCTTTGCTGCTGAAAGAACGAGTGTGTGTTGGAAGGGTCAGCACTGCTGGCAGGACCATCCTCCAGTGGAGGTGTGCAAACAAATTCTGATCATCTGTTCACTTTGGCAAGCACAGAGGGGAAATAGGAAATTCCAGCTTAGAGGTTATATCATGGCTAATTAGAAAAAAAAATTGCTTCTCTAAATTCATTATAATTTTTATTCAAGAAAGTCTTCATTCTGTGAGTAATAGTCTTGCTCTTTATATAAGCTCATAATAGGTCCACCTGAGATTAGAGTTCCACGTGCTAAGGGTGTTGTGCAAGCACCCCACAAACAAATTACAGTCTAAAGATGAGAGTGACATAGGATCAGAAGGGACACAAGGTGGTAGGGAGGTCGGGTGACCAATTTATAGTCACTCAGTGGGTCAGTGGCAGAGTTGATGTAAGCGCTCTTGCTTTGGACGCAGTGCCTGAGCTGCAGACATCTGTGCTGAATACTATTGCTGTGAATAATGACTTTTTCCAAAGTGATGGGTTTGATTTCCGTAATTTCAGAAGACTTGTGAAATCTTTCTTGGAGTAATGTGGTAAGTTTAAAATGAAAATGTGTTGGCAAACTGAGAACTTAGTCTCTTGAGTCATCAGTTGTGTAAATGAAGTACTCAGCTTGAAAGCTTTGGTCTGTGTCTTCATCAAAACTATTTACAGCATTGTCATTGGTTTCTGCACCTAGATATGGTTGGATGGGAAGTCGCTTCTATTGCCATGCAATGTGAATTCAGTTGATCTGAGAACCCAGACTGGTTTTCTGGGTATTAGCACTGGTGTTAGTGATTCCGTTGTTGAAGTTCATGTGACCTGTGAAGCCAAATATGGGATCTTCAGAAATCCAGTGGAATTCTTTTGTTAACTAATGTGATTTCCATGCCTGGTAGAACAGAGACTCAAACTTGATAACTCTCTCTGGTGCTGCTGAAGGATTCTGATGATCAGAATCTGCAGTTTCTGCACTGAAAATCCTTCAGTCAGTGGATTCACGAGAGAAGGAAGAAGATGCTATGCTAGTCCCTGTCTCAGAGTCCCATGGAAACAGATGTTTGCTGTTTTCCTTCTCTTTCTAGACTGAACAGCATTACTGTTAGACTTCATGTATTTAAATGTAAACACCAAGTCAATCTGTATCTCTGCAGGGCAGATCTGTCCTCTTTGACCCATCAGTCATCAGTGTTAGGCTTATCTGGGTCTGTGCTCTGTAACAGTGAAATGGACCTGGAAGTGGTTAAGGTCATACTATATGCTGCCTTCATCTGAAATAAATGCAGAGCTGAGATCTTCACCCCTTCAAGCTCTGCTTGCAGAGCAATGTTTTTCTTGGCATCAAAGTGAGTCACTGATAGGAGAAAGTGTCATGCACACCTGGCTGTAAGCCCTGGGACTAGACGTAGAAGCTGGGTTTCAGGAAAGCACAGGCAATGGCACATCTACTGTATCTGAACCACACAAAGGTGTAAGTTCAGATGGATGGATGGCTATTTTAGCATCCTACTGGGAGAGTTGCTCAGAGAAAAAGCTTTGCTGTGGCTCACTTCTGCACATTGCTTACTTCTGGGCCTGAATTACTTGGCTTATGCTCAGTCATCTGTTTTCAGGGTGTTAATGTTAACACAACTCCCTCTGGGAAGGCCTTTTACTGCATGGACATTGTGCTCCAGCACTTGTTGGAAGAAACTTTGAGAGCCTTTGGACCATAAGAACTATTGTGTAGAAAACTGGGTGGCTCTTCACTAACTGGCTCATAGTTTGATTGTCTAGGTTCATGTTTGTTTATGGGATAAGGAGTACTAACTCCATAGCTGCCTCATTAGTGGTCCTTAGTGCCTTGTATTTGTTTGTTTGGGTGTTTTCCCCCCACGGCTGTGTGGTGTATCTGGTAGCTTTTGAAGAGGCCAAATGTTGTTTGCAATCTAAGTGGGTTTTGCTTCTCTCTTTGTAGATGCTGGCCAAAGCAAGTGCCGATTAGAGAGAGCTCAAGCACTGGAACAGGCAAAGAAGCCCCAGGAAGCAGTCTTCATCCCAGAATGCAATGAGGATGGATCATTCACACAGGTAAAACTTCTGTTGGCTTCCTTCAGCCAGGCTCCCAGTGGCTGCAGGAGATTCACTGTTAAGGTATGAGCCAAGTGACAATAGCAGCACAGGTGCTCTGACTCAGTCACTGAGGTGAAAGTAGTGAAAACTGGGGACTTGTTTAACAAACTGGAAGCTTTGATTCAGTCGCCATACCTTAAGACACATACATGTGTAATTACATCCACTTCCAGTGTAGCACAGAAACAAATGGAATCAACCTCTGGCATAGCACAGAAGCAAAAACAAATTGCAGGGGGTGTCAATTTTTCCTTGAAGATGAGCTGCAAAGGGGGCTGTCGCTCACAGAGAACAGGGTGGACCAAGCTTCGGTATAGCACAGAAGCAAAGGGGGTGTCAATTTTTCCTTGAAGATGAGCTGCAAAGGGGGCTGTCGCTCACAGAGAACAGGGTGGACCAAGCTTATTCTGCTGTTACCTGTGCTTCACCTATCCCAGAAAAAAAAAAGAGTGGTCTATTGAGCTTCTTCCTTCTGCAGGATACTTGTTAGTGACAGACTCATGTTTCCTGTTATATGCCCTGTTGTGGTTTGGGGGTCTGGCAGGGAGGTAATAAGACTGCTTTGTTTGGGTTTCTGATTCTCCACTGTTTACTTGCTGGAACTAAATGATGTGCTGGGATTGCAGACTGTTTCATAATGCTGCTTCTCTTGAGAAGCAATTATCTCAGGCGGGGTAGCAGAGGAGGCTTATGGTTTGGTGGCCTCTAATATTTGTGAAAAATGAGTCCTGGCCACTGAGCATCCTTCAGAAATAGTTGGATGGAAGAGGTCCTGTAGAATTCCAGAGAAGTTGAAGTAGTTATGGAAGAAAGCAAGCCCTCATGAAGGAGATTGAGAGGAAGAGTAGTTTGCCAAGGCAGGGTAGAAATGAAGAGTGATACTTGGTTCTGTAACCACTGGCATATTGAGTCCTGTCTCAGTGTGAACTGAACTGGGTGTTACAAACAGCTATGTGCAGTTCCCTAACTGGTACGAGGGGTATGCTCTCTGCTCAGTGTGGCACACATCTCAAAAGCCAAAATCCTGCAACGCTGATGACCTCTACTTTGTGAACTTAGGTAAGTCATACAACATGAGTCCCTATATCTAAGCACTGCTCTAGAGATCTTGTACCTCAGAAATTTTAGGATTAATTAGTTATTGTTTGCAACGTCTTTTGAAGGTAAAAAGAAATATCCAAAATATGATCAATATTGGCTTCAAAAAGATGAGAAAGACAAAAAGCTTTGGGGTTGGTTCAAACGCTTTTTGCTGCCTGGGGAAAGAAGACAGGAAAGATTTTTTTTGTGATAACCCACCAAAAATTTTTATTCTCCCCCTCAGCCTTACCCTCCCATTATCTGATGCGTGGGAGTGTTTTTGTTTTGTTTTGTAATGGTGAAGTGGGAAAAGTTTCATCCATCCTGCCAACTTTGCATACTTCTTCGGAGCAGCATCGTATTTGTGTACAGTGTGGACCATCTTGGGAAGGGGGAGGTAAGAGAGAAGGTGGCTGCAGTTTCTTGAAGTCCAACTGTGAAATCTGATTTTGTGTAGAGCTGCTCAGATTGTGTTGGCACTGGAGGGGAATACTTGTAAAACCTAGCACAGTGGGCCAACTAAGTTTTCCATGTTAAACTTCACAGTCTAACTGTGAAATCTGATTTTGCGTAGAGCTGCTCAGATTATGTTGGCACTGGAGGGGAATACTTATAAAACCTAGCACAGAGGGCCAACTAAGTTTTCCATGTTAAACTTCATGGTTCAAAAAAAAGAGGAGGAAGGAAAGCTGACTTTCCAGTGTCTCTGTCAGCTGTCCATCAACCTCTTTGAGTAAAGTGGGGTGCAGGTGTCATATTTTTATCCTAATAAGCTGGGTGCAGGGTGCAGTTGATAAAGCTTTGTTTCACACAGTTTTATTTGGAAGGTTGGTACCAGTGTCTGGATCATGGAGCAGTTGCTGGGCCTCTTTTCTGCACATTCCCTGGCCAGCGCACGTTGCCAGTGGAGGAGCAGCATGAAACTGCTTACAAAAATTGTGTGTTTTCAGCTTGCAGCCAAGTGGTATTTTACATTCTTCCTGTGTTCAGTCCTATCTGTGAACGCTAAAATGCTTCTGCTTTACCTGGCACGAAGAGGGAAGCCTCTGATCCCTTTGTAGCTGGAATTAACTGAAATTCATATCATTCCTTGGATTGTAAAAATACCCACGTTCCACATACCTCAGGAATCAGCTTCATCATTTATATTGCAGCATTTAAGGTCATTGTCCCTGTGTAAGATGTGAATATAAAACAACGTCCGAGGAAGCTAGCTGTTTTCAACCTGCATTTGAGACAAATATTTCCTTTAGCTTCTGGTCCAAATTAATTAAACTTTGATTTTTAAAAGCATGTATAAAAATTATAACGTTGCTGAACAGTTTAAACAGTTTTGCTTCCAGCAGCACATTAATGGATTTATTCTAGTGGAGGTGGCTTGGATACCACATCTCTTCTGCGGAGAATTAACACCCCCGGGTTCTGCTCTGCAGGGAAGCTGTGAAGGGCAGTTCTTGAAGTCCCTGAAGCCTTGCTGAAGTCAGGTCTGAACTGTTATTAGTTTATTCTGGTTTAGTACCCAGAGAGTGTATAAAAATTAGAATGTTGCTGAACAGTTTAAACAGCTTTGCTTCCAGCAGCACATTAATGGATTTATTCTAGTGGAGGTGGCTTGGATACCACATCTCTTCTGCGGAGAATTAACACCCCCGGGTTCTGCTCTGCAGGGAAGCTGTGAAGGGCAGTTCTTGAAGTCCCTGAAGCCTTGCTGAAGTCAGGTCTGAACTGTTATTAGTTTATTCTGGTTTAGTACCCAGAGAGTTGCTCCATCCAAACTTCACAATCTCAGTTGGGAAGTCCAGAACAGAGCAGCATCTCTCAACAAAGTTTCTAGGAGAAATACTCACCACTCTCTTCAACCTTGAATCCCCAACCAAACCAGAATTTAAGCAGATGCATATACCCTGTATGTTGACTTCATTAGGGAATTTTTTTCAGCAACTTCCCACCTTCCATGTAACTGTTATTGGAGAAATATTTTGGGTAGAAGAAAAATTCTGATCTGAGGGGAAACAAAGATGCATGTATAATTTTGAATATCACGGAATTGTCAGAGTTGGAAGGGGCCTCTAGAGATCATCTAGTCTAACTCCCCTGCTAAGCAGGATTACCTAGAGCACATTACTCAGGACTGCATCAAGGTGGGTCTTGAAAATCTCCAGAGAAGGGGACTCCACGACCCCCCTGGGCAGCCTGTTCCAGGGCTCTGTCACCCTCACTGTAAAGAAGTTTTTCCTCGTATTTGAATGGAACTTGCCATGTTCCAGCTTGTGCCTGTTGCCCCTTGTCCTATTGCTGGAAACCACTGAAAAGAGTCCAGCTCCATCATCCTTCAACCCACCCTTTAGATACTTGTAAGCATAAGTAAGGTCTCCCCTCAGCCTTCTCTTCTCCAGGCTAAAGAACCCATATCAAATATCTTAATTATTATAGCATTCACTTACATATGTGGATGACTTGCTTTCAGGTCTTGGGCTGAGCCTCTTTTTTTTAGGTGCATACACATTAGGTTTTCAGGCCCACATCACTGACCTTGATATCAGTCATCAAAAGACCTGGGATTTTGTCTAATTAATTGTTGGACATTCTTGAAAGTTTTGCAGGAGTGACAAATGCAAATAGTGCAGATTTGGGAACTGCATTTGGTAGTGGTAACTGTATGTTCACAGAACCTGCTTGGTCTTAACCAGATTGAACTGCTGCTTTTGTCCTCTTTTTTGTAGGTGCATACACAGTAGGTTTTCAGGCCCACATCACTGACCTTGACATCAGTCATCAAAAGACCTGGGATTTTGTCTAATTAATTGTTGGACATTCTTGAAAGTTTTGCAGGAGTGACAAATGCAAATAGTGCAGATTTGGGAACTGCATTTGGTAGTGGTAACTGTATGTTACAGAACCTGCTTGGTCTTAACCAGGTTGAACTGTTGCTTTTGTGGTATATCATCGTCCTCTTGATCAGAAGCTAAATTTCAATCGCTATGAGTAAACTCTAAAGGTGTATCAAATACCTTAATTATTTTAGCATTCACTTACATATGTGATGACTTGCTTTCAGGTCTTGGGCTGAGCCTCTTTTTTGTAGGTGCATACACAGTAGGTTTTCAGGCCCACATCACTGACCTTGACATCAGTCATCAAAAGACCTGGGATTTTGTCTAATTAATTGTTGGGCATTCTTGAAAGTTTTGCAGGAGTGACAAATGCAAATAGTGCAGATTTGGGAACTGCATTTGGTAGTGGTAACTGTATGTTACAGAACCTGCTTGGTCTTAACCAGGTTGAACTGTTGCTTTTGTGGTATATCATCGTCCTCTTGATTAGAAGCTAAATTTCAATCGCTATGAGTAAACTCTAAAGCAGCACTAAGTGAGGCTGTTCCTTCTGAAAGCAGCTCAAGTCTGACCTGTCCAACTTCTGGAATTGCATGCAGTACAAAACTGTGTGAATTTGGGGCTGGGTTCACTGCAAATCAGATGGGGCTGTAGGGTGGTGGAAAGTACAGAGCCATTCGGCTGCTCTGTGACCAGGCAGCATGTGCTGCATGAGGCTGTGGCTGCAGAGGTGAGACCATGCTCACCTTATCTCCTTCTGCTTCCCTGCAGAGCAACTGGCTTTGAGACCCACCAGTTAGATGTGGTAACAAGGGTGAAAGGGGGGAGAGTCCAAAGGCAAAGACCATGGTTTGGCTTGCATTTAAACCCTGTACTAGAGAGACATCCTGTGTGTCTTACCTTTTCTTCTTGTCTGTAAAACTAGGCCAAAAAAGAAGTGTTGCCATTGATTCTGTTGCTTGGATGGCCAGTTTTTCTAGGCATGGGAGGAGCAGCATGAAACTGCTTACAAAAATTGTGTGTTTTCAGCTTGCAGCCAAGTGG